AAAAATAATATTTGCTGCTTTGTACATAAGTATTATGCATGCTGATGGCAAAAAAAAAAAAAAATCTAAGGGTCTTATATACAGACGTTAACTAAACCATCTTGGAAGTATCAGTACACCACGAGCCAGGGAGTCAGTTCATTTCAGGGTGATCTTAATCTTGTTCTGACCTTCAGGATAGGTGAGATGAGTAGGAAGAGGCTCAGTTTATATTCCCAAGGCTAATGAATGGTTTCATTATATGACCTGACTGTATCTGCTGCACAGTCACAGTGACAAAGAGGACATTTGTTTCTCTGTCTAAAGATTTTTTTTTTTAAAAAAAAAAACCTTTATTCCTGCCCCAGAGAGAAGAACTGTCACCACACAGGATGCTTATCAAAGACACTGTCATCATTCCAGCTTGCTCCACCCATGACCCAGTTGCTACCTGTTGTTGGGTGTATGTTACCATGTCCAAGCCATCTTCTGTTGAATTCCAAGAGGGACCAGTCTCCCATTTTACGTCTTTAGAATGACCTCCCTTCATCTTGCACTCACACATGACCCACGGCAGCACAGATTGGGTTTCCTGACTTCCTAGGTTATTCAGAATGAAGTTTGACACCGATACATGGGGTCAAACTAAGTTGCCCTCAGGAAGGTGATCATGAAGATAAATTGACCCAATGTTAATAAGCGTAATTAAGCCCAGAAAAATTGAAATTGAATTTAAGTAAATCTGTTCAGTAGTCCTCCATTATTGTGTTCCAGGAATAGATTTTCAGTCTTTATAAAGAACTTTACAGATCTACTACTGTACTTTTAATAAGATTTTTTTTAAGTAGCAATATCTTTTCTTAGTTTTTAGTTTGTTTATTTAGTAGAGCAGCTTTTTTATTTGAAACAAATCTTACCTTAGCCCAGAGTATTTTTACCTGGAATTTAGGTGAATTTGCATTCTTGGCATGGCGGTCTGTAGGTCATTTGGATATTCTCCCACCTCACTGGTATTTTGATGATACTCTCACTAATCTGAGCATTTCCTGGAACCCCTTTAAGCCACAGCCTCCTCACTAGTCATCCTTCCAGTCCTGGTTGTTGACTGTGCCAAAAGAAATATGTGACCAGGTAGTCAGACTGCGTTACTCAGCAAACTCATTAATCTCTGAGCCAGTTCAGGTATTAGTCTTCATATCTGCTTTCTGGTGGTTACACAAGGTAGCAGTATTGATTTTAGACAACTCTGTCACTTGATAATTGCTTAGAGCCATGAAAACTGTAGGCCAGATTAAGAAGGCAAAGGGTAAAGGTTTCAATTTCCAAGCTCCTTACACGCAGAACCAGAAACCAGAAGTCTCTATTGTCTCTTAATCTAGAAGAGTTCCTGTAGCTTTCTTTGACTTTCACAACTTTGAAATATTACAGGGCAGTTGTTTTGTAGACTGTTGCTTAATTTGGTTTTAATTAATGATCCCTCATTATTAGATTCAATTTATTTGTATTTTTCAGGGATGACACAGAACGAATGTTGTATTTTTTGAGTTGCATCTTATCTGGTGGTCCATGATTTCAGTTTGTTCTATTATTGGTGAGGTCTACTTTGATCACTTGAATAAGATTGTGGCTACTGGACTTTTTCACTGTAAAGGTACTCTTTTACTCCTTAAAACTAATAAGTGTTTTAGGAAACTATGTGAGGTAATAGATACTTTAATTAGCTTGACTATAGTAATTATTTCACGATGTGTATGTATATCAAAACATCGCATTGTATACCTTAAATATATATAGCTTTTATAATTAAATAATAAAAATTTCAAGTATTTTATAGGTCAGGACTTTGAAACTTTGTCCAAAGGAAACTTTGCTGTCCTTACCCCATTCAGGCTATGATTCTTCATAGTAGCTGCCCACCACCCTGCCCCTTCTGGGATACTCTGCTCACTCTGCTCAGGCTCCAACATCCCATGCCAGGTTATCTCTCTATATGGACATTTGCTCATGCTCCTTGAACTCTGGCATCCCACTCTGGACCACCATGGGTCCCTGCTTCTTCTAACACAATGCTTACTTTTTTCTGCCCACCTATTGGCTTTAGCACTAAATTTTCAGGAAGAGAAGGGGAAATAGAGATTAAATATCATTTAAAAATCACTCTAAACATTAGCATTTTATGATAAATAAATTAATATGGTTAAATATTGCAAGTTTATGCTGAGAAAATGAGGGTAGAGGTGTGTCAAGATCACTAGAGAAATGACCATGCCTGAATAATCACTGAGGACAAGGGCAAAGTGAGGCACTGAATAGTTTAAACTAGGGCTAACTATCACAATGGAGTCTAGCCAGAAACACAAGATCCAAGAGTAGGCAGAGAAGTCAGGATATGTTTACCTATAGTCTCCAGAAAAGAGAGGGTTGATTACAGTGGATGGTCAGAAAGCAACAAATGTCCCTTAAAGTAGTCTGGGCAAAAAGGGAAGTATTTAACGACACTAGCAAGTATCTTAATATGAGTTAGGCATTATGAGAACAATTCATTTAGTCAAAGCAATAATGTGTTGCTGACCACACATTATTAGACCACTAGATGGCATGAATCTTATTATTTCTCTTGGCAACGGTACAAGTTGATACCAGACTCTGACTAATTGATGTTATGCTGCCCTCCTTTGGTTGAATTTAAAATTCCTTCCTTAATAAGAACTGTTTTGGTATATTTTTAACAAAGAGAGGTAATCAGGATTTCAATTACACATTATAATTTTTAGATTGACAGTAATGGTAAATAAATAATTTGTGGGGAAAATGAATAAAAAGAATATACATTTATGCAATAAATTTAAAAGTCACTGGCAAAGCCCATTTTTGTCACAACTACTCAACCTTCCTATTGTAGCATGAAAGTGGACACCGTTGTATTCCAATAAAGCTTTATTTGCACAAACAGACAGTGGACTGGATTTGATCCATAGATTGTAGTTTGCAAATTCCTACTTTAGATTATTAATGTTGAGAGAACTTCTACTTTCAGCCATAATGGATGACCAGATTCATCCTCCCACTTTAAACAAACAAAAAATGAAATAAACATATGAAACAATAGTTGTCAGATCCTGGGAAAAAGGTATAATAGGATAATGATCCTTGAGAAAAGAGAAATAAATATAGTGAGCCCTGCTGTTGCTCCAGCTTACTGTGTGGAGAGAGTGTTTAGACTGCAGTGCAAGGAGGAGGCGGAAACCCAAACAAACCAGTGGTGGTCTCCCTGAGTTAATAAGTCAGAGATTGGAGTTGAGAGAAGTAGCTAGATTTTGCAGGGCAAAGTATTAGAGAGAAGAGGAAGAGAGAAAGAGAGATGGAGAAAGAGATATCTGTAGAAAAGACTGCTGGAGTCAGTAGCTGATTTGTGACCTATAAATGACCCCAAACTGGGAAAGAATGTACAAAAAGGAGCAGGCCAGCTACCCCCCAGACTGACAAAGAGCTAGAAGTATATCATTTTCCACCAGCCCAAGTGCAAAAACTTCCTAATACAGAGAGCATTGAAGAGAGTCCTACGAGGATATCCCCTTGGTAGTGGGATGACATTGCCCTAGACTATATAACGTCTACTCCATCCAGTCTAACAAAGCTTAAAAGTAAGCACCAGAAGAACCAAACAGATTCCAGGTAACTTAACTATGTCCTAAAACAAAGCCCAACCATATACAAAGGACTAAATAAATCTAGTACCCAGTAAAGTAAAACTTACAATGTTCAGAATCAAAAACTCAGGCATGCAAAGAAGCTATAAAATAGAAACATAAACAGTAGCAAAAATAACCAAGAAACCAGACCCAGAAATGATACAAATGTTAGAATTAGCAGACAAGGAAGTTAAAACACATTATAGATATACCCCATACATTTAAGAAGGTAGAAGAAAAGATGAACACGAAGAAATGAAAGATATCAAAATGGAACAAATTGAACTTTTAGAAGATGAAGAATATAATACCTAAAGTGATAAATATATTGGATGGAATTAACATTAGATAAGATATTGCAGAAGAAAATATCAGTGAGCTTGAAGACAGAATTAGTGGCCTGTGTGATAATATCGAATGGTCTGACATCTGTATTAGAGTCTCAGAAGATGAAAAACATTGAAAAAAATAAGGTCTAAAACTTCCAAATTTGATGAAAATCATAAAACCACAGATTCAAAAAGCTCAAGAAATTCCTAGCAGAAGATACAAGAAGAAAATCACACCAAGACACATCATAATCAAACCACTGAAAAATAATAATACATCTTAAAAGTAGAGAAAAAGAAGATATATTATGCACAGAGGGAAAGAATTAAGAATGAAAGCAGTCTTCTCTTCAGAAATAATGCAAGCCAAAAGACAGTGGAGCAACATCTTTACAGAACTGAAAGAAAAAATATACCTACTTAGAATTCTGTACTCAGCAAAAATGTATTTCAAAAATGAAGGCAAAATACCTTTTGAGATAAATGAAGCCAAAAGAATTGATTACCAGCAGACCTGAGATACAATAAATATTAAAGTAAGTTATTCAAGAAGGAAAATGATACCAGATAGAAATTTAGATCTACAGAAAGGAGTGATGAGCACCAGAAATAGTAACTATGTGGGTAAATATATGATAATGATAAGTATGGTTGGTTAAATGGTAAATATGTGAGTAAATACAGAAGAAAGAGTTCCTCATTTAAAAAATCTCTTAAAATATAATTGACTAACAAATATATCAATGTATGTGGGGTTTAAAACATAAAAATATATGACAATAGCACAAAGGATGAGAGGAATAAAGTATATTGTTATAATATCATTACACTATATGTGGTATATAATATTATTTGAAAGTAAACTATAATATGCTAAATGTATGTTTTAAATCCTAGAGCAACTACTATAAAAATAAAGTGGTATAGCTAATAAATAAATAATGGAGGTAATATGGAATAACTTTTTAAAAATCAATCTAAAACAAGGAAATAACAGAGTTTTAAAATACACGTAGCAAAAACTGATAGAACTGAAAAGGGAGATGAACAAAAACAAAGTTATAATTGAAGATTTCAGTGTTTCTTTCTTGGTGGTGGATGGAACAGATAGAAAACCAGAGAGAATATGGAAAATTTCAACAACATTGTCAACCAACTTGACCTAATTAACATTTATAAAACAGTCCAACCAACAAAAGCAAAATAGTCTTTTGAGTTAACATGCAACAGTAACCAAGATAGACTATATTCTAAGCCATGAAATAAGTCTGATTAAATTTATATTCTTTGACCACAACAGATTCAAATTAGAAAACAGTAACAGTATTTGGAAATTAAAAACACAATTTTACATTAATATTGCCAAGTGGATGAAAATGACATCAAAGTCTTGACTGCAGATTAGAGATTATTTTTATTTATCCTTATAAATAAGTGTTTTTCTGAAGCTCTGCATGAAAAGTTTATAGATTTATGTTGAGACCAGTTTAAAATTCTGTTGTTTAAATAGATTAAGCAGAATGTTATAGAAAAAAAGTATTATTCCTTTTGTATATTAAAAATTACCATAGGCTTTTCAGAGAGAGAGAGAGATTTCAAAAACATTGGAGTTGCTGCCACAATAAAAACTATTCAGCTATAAAGAGATCATACCCTGCCAGAGGCCAGAGCAACTCAATTTATCCTAAAAAGAACCACAAGAGATTAAAGTGTCTAATTTGTAATTCATATCTTCTATCTGTAATATTTTACTCTATCTGCGAACCCCCAGGAAGAATATGACTGATTTAGGCATTTATTAAGTGTAAACTAATATGCATCAGTTATTTACCATGGTTTCGGCAGCATAGTAGATTTTTACATATAATCTTTTTATCTGCTAATCCGCAAAAGCGTTCTATAAATTAAGAGTTTAGAGATGAAAAAACTGAGGCAGAAAGAGATTAAGTAACTTGCGCAAAGTCACACAACCAGTAAATGGGTCTTTATGACGTCAGTACCCAAATTCCATGATAAAATACAAAAGATTTCCTTCTTTTCCTCAATTTCATTAAACATTTAGTTTTTCTAGCAGCCAGTGGGAAAGAATAGAACCCTTTGGTCACTGAATTACTTTGCAAAGGTACTGGTTCCGTAGGTGGTGTGAAAACATGAACGAGGTATCTATCTAGGCATTTGTCATCCTGACTGACATAAACATCCCCAGTAGAGGAATGCTATGTGCAGATGTCAAATAACCGGTAACTCTAATGGAATTATGAGGTAGTTTTTGATCATGTGAAAAGTTTAAAACTTTTCAAAGGAGATAATGCTTTACAGAATAATGTCCAGTACAAACCATGCATTACTTATACGTTTTTAGTCATGAGCACATGAGATAGTCTACCTTTGAACAGAGTTATCACTCAGGTCAATTAGGTATGAAGTTTTCTTTCCAGCTCCCACTCCTTGACATCAGCTTAAAGTCTGTATACCTTATTAGCTCAGATAAGAGATTTCTGTAGTTTGACTCTCATGGATCTATAAGTTCAAATTCTACAACATCCAAGGTGTTAGAAACCTTTTGATGAATGCAAATGAACTTTATAAGAAAAGACTCCTCCATGGAGCATGTTGACTCAGTTTATTTCAATTTATTAATACCAGACTAAGTGACACCAACATAGAGCTGACTTGTGGATAATGAGACCATACATGTTTATGTTTTGTATTTGTGGTAGAGCACATTGATTCACTCCAAGTGAACACATGTTTTGTAAGCTCCGACTATAGTTACATAGACAGTAAACAAAAGTCGAGTGTTTATTCTACACTCGAGTTTTTAATGTTGGAAGGTTATAAATAAATAGTCATGTATTAGAACAAAAAAGGTGCCTTAAAGATAGATTGGGGTCTTATTCAGGAGGACTTAGAATATGGAACTGGGTATTTGGAATTCAAGAGGCATTATTGATGTAAAAATAGACACATTGATTGACCATAGTTACCGGTACCCTCGAGAATGTATAGACTGACCAACTGCCCCCAGTCTCTTCTCACACATTATTTCATCATTTGTAATGGTTTCATAGCATTTCATTATATAAATTTACTAACATTTATTTAACCATTCCCCTATTGTTGGACTTACAGGTTGTATCTAATATCCTGCAATTGCAGTAAGTTTTAATGACCTTTTGCTCCGTTTTTTCTTTTTCACAATACTTCCATAAACTAGAATCTTAGATATTAAACTGCTTGGTTAAGATATAAAATAATTTAAGATCACTGGTACATATTTTAAGATTGATTTGCTCAGGCATTTGTGCAAGTTTACAGTTCCCTTTGAGGTTTTAAATTTAGTAGTCTGGGTTTAATTTTGCTCCTGAGTGCCATGTAGGTACTACTAAGCCTCTGATAAATATCACTCTGTGAAAGACTTCCCCTTTAAAAATAATCTTACTCTCAATAAAAAAACTTTAATACGCTTGACTAAATTATTTAGAAAGCGTTTTGTGTTGAGTGAAACTTCGTATGTAATAAATAATGAGAGTAATAGATCTTATCAGATGACTAGTCTGTAATTGTATCAAGAAAAGCATACAACGAAACTAGTTCTTTTGGTTACTTCCTCAAACAGCCAACACAATGGGGAAAGTGGAGGAAATGTCCTATGAACACTCTGAATAGGGAACCAAAAGCCTAAGGTGTAAACTTGGAGAAATGACAGCTTTAAAAAAACAAACCAACTAAAGAAAACACTTTCCAGGACAACTTGAGATGCATAAAAGGCAGACATTCACTAGAGTTGGAGCTTTACTAAGTCTGCACAGAGTTAAGTGGCATATTTGGCCTTTACTATGATTAGCAAGTACTTCTTTGAAGTTGTGTTGGTGCTGCTGGCCTCTTCCACTGTCTTCTCCCTAGAACTGAAACTGGTTCTTTTCCAACAAAGAAGAGTGAACAGAGAAAATTTAAAACTCTTGAATAAATTGCAAACCTCGTCAATTCATCAGTGTCTACCACACAGGAAAAACTTTCTGCTTCCCCAGAAGTCTCTGAATCCTCACCTGTACCAGAAAGGATGTGCACTGGCCTTTCTTCATGAGACGCTTCAGCAGATCTTCAGCCTATTCGGGGCAAATATTTTTCTGGATGGTTGGGAGGAAAGCCACATGGAGAAGTTCCTCATTGAACTTCATCAACAACTGGAATACCTAGAAACGCTCATGAGACAGCAAACAGAACAGAAAAGTGGCACCTTAGGTAGTGAGAACCTTAGGTTACAGGTTAAAATGTACTTCCAAAGGATCCGTGATTACCTGGAAAACCAGGAATACAGCCGCTGTGCCTGGACCATTGTCCAAGTAGAAATCAACCGGTGTCTTTTCTTTGTGTTCCAACTTACAGGAAAGCTGAGCAAACAAGAAATGGACCCTTGAACCATGTGGAGCAAGAGGCAACCACAGACTTTAAAAGCATAGGGTAGGTGGAGGGGCTTCTCCAGACACTGTTACTTCTTTCTGTCGTAAAATGGTAGTATTGTTTTGGTTTTGTGTGTGTACATATATATTTATCTGTACCTTAAGATTATGCATATTGAAATAATGTTTTTTTGGTCACTGTATTTCCTATCTAAAATTTTTTAGTTGAAATTGATTCATTAATATTTCATAATTGGTTCTTCAAATGGGCATATTTTCATAAAAGTTCAGTAGATAAATAAAATGAAATGTGTCTCAACTGTAATCACCCTTTACTAAATATAGAACTTCCATGCCAATGATTTTCTTCTTTGCCAGAAATTGGTAGAAACAATGAGAAAAACTAGGAATAATTTGCATTGCAAGATTTGAAAATATTACTGAAATGTCCTTGAATATTTCTACAAGTGACACAATAGAAATATAGCCAAAATATATGAACAAACAATCTGCAGAGGAAAAACATAAAAAGAAGTTTAACCTCACTCATAATGAAGTACAAATTAAAAGTTAATAACATGCCATTTATAACCTATCAGGTAGGTAAAAGCCCAAAGTTTGATTTAAAAACAAAAAAACAAACATTCTTGCAAAGATGTTGGGGAGGGATGCTCTTATAATTTTCTAGAGCACTGGAAATTAGTACAATCACTGTGGAGGCAATTTGGTGATATCTATCAAAATTACAGATTCATATAGTCTGTGATCCATCAATTCCATGTCTAGAAATGTATTCTGTTGCACAGGTGTGAAATGAGTTACATATAACAGTATTCACTGCAGCATTATTTATAATATCAAAAGACAGGAAACACCCAAATTCTTCTAATTAGAGAATAGTAAGGTATATTCAAAGGAACACTTTTCAGCTGGAGAAAAGCATAAGGATGCTCATCCTATAAAAAAAGTAGAGTAAGAAAAATAGGCAGGATGCAAAACAGCATGTATAAAATGCTGTATTTGAGATTACAATGTAAAATAAACTTTATATTAGACCTTGTATATGAATAAATATAGTATAAGAAATAAATTACATTGATTACTTGTATGGGGGGAGGAGGAAAGACTAAGGGAAGACATAGTGGGAGAGGTTTTACAGCATATTATATTTTAATTTTTGGTGTGAATTTTACCAACTAAAATCATAAAATGTATCTAATAAGTCACAGGTATCGGAAATATGCATGAAGGAGTCTTGTTGGTTAAAGAAAGTGCTAAGTATGAAGTGCTAAGGTTAGAAGAATCAGGACTGAGCCAGCTGGCCCTTGGTCAGGGTGGCTGGAAGGAGGAGGGCTGGACAGAAGAGCACCCATTCCAAGGTGAAGGAGTCCAGCTTCCAGCCAGGAGCCCCCAGAAGTCATTATGGAACAAACGTGGGACCAGAAACTGAAATTCACCGAGGCTTGCTGACTCCCACAGTCACAGTGACTTTTGCCCAGTGTAAGAAGCAGAGCCATGGCCCCAAAATCTGTAGCTAGTTCTACTATTTTATCATGTTCTGCTTCAGATGCATTCTCTACTGATAAAAGTTATCACTGAATGTAAAATCTTGCTGAAGAACAAAACATTTCATTTCAGTTTAATTAGTGTGAGTGAGTATATTAACTCTTGGCTGATACTTCTAGATTTGGCTTGAAAGGAAAGAGAAGAAATCAAATAAGATCCTGGGAGTGAGTCAGGGTCAGCTGCAGTAGTGAAGGGGGCCAAGAAAGCAGAAGCTGGGCAGCCAGGAGGAAGTCTTTATAACAGACTACACATTTCAGCTCAGGGATTGACATATTTACCTTCAAGTTCACATGGAGGTAGGGAAGTGGAAAGAACAAATATTTACTAACACTCAACTACAAATACAGGTCATTTGCTTCTCATGGTCTGTAGACTTTTCATTTTCTTTAACCCAGGAAATTTATAGAATCAAATAATTCATTTAACATGTTATTCAGTAATCGACTTAACATTGCAAGGCAGTTTCATTGTTATCTTCTTTTCTCAGGTGAGAAGACTTTAAAGATTAAGTAACTTGTTCAAAATAACACAGCAAGCCACAGAGCTAAGCTAACAAATGCCAGAGCAGATTCTCTCCCAAATCTGCCTGACTCAAAAGCCAGCACTGCCTTCAAGACAGCACAATCCTGAACATCATACAATAGCATTGCAAACTAATGATAACACTAATAATAATAATTATCTCCCATCTTTTCTCGTTCAAGTTCACATACCGTCTGCAGTCTTGAATTAAATAAAGGACATTTTCTCTACCTGGACATTTTTTTTCCCTAAGAACTGAGGAGAACGGAATGGAGGAGGTGCCACGTGGAAACTTATAGGAGATAATACTCATAATTAAATCTAAAACCAATACCTTACATGCTAATGTATCTTCAAACTTTTATCAAGTTGACATCCTGCTTATATAATTATCTTAACTGCTTAATACAAAATAAAAATTGCTTGCTTTTAAATATATGTGCCTTTTTAAAACTTTAAAACCAGAGTTCTAAACTTGGAGATATTGAGAAAGAGAAATACTATAAAAGACTAGAATCCCTGCTAGCAGTGCTTAGATGGGTTCAGAGTAAGGATAAGTTCATTTGTACTCACAGTCTGGGTCATCTGAGTTATCCTTATTTACAGCTACGTGTACTAGGATAAATTATTAAATCAACAAACAGGTTACAAAATATAGTATCATTTTCTACAAATAAAACATGCATGAAAAATATCTGAAAAGAAATGCATGAAAATGTTTACAGTAGTACTATATGAGTGATAGACTTTCCATCTCTTAACACTTTTTGGATTAAATATTTCCTCTATGAATATGAATTCATATTAGAACCAGAAAAAAGGTAAAATTATTTTATTTTTTGAAATTTAAAAAGAGAACAAATATGGCCTCTTGTAGAGATTTGGTTTAGAATGCTTATCACCTGCAGTAAATTAAGCCCCACATCTAGCATGCATCAGAAGCATCTGGAGGGCTTGTGAAAACACAGTTGGAATGGCTTCACCCCCAGTGTTTCTGATCCAACAGGTTTGTCTTGGGGCTTGACTATTTGTATTTCTAACAATTTCTAGATGATGCTGATGCTTCCGGTCTTTGACTAGACATTATAAACCAAACCCTTATTTATTACGAGCTTTAGTAGACTTTTAACAGATGAAGGTATGGTCTCCTTGAGCTTATTGATCTCATATTTTCTCACAATGAGGGAAGTAAGCACCTTAGGAGAGAGTTGGTAAAGATGATTTCTTTCTTTCGCTACCTTTTCACAGCAGCAGATTTGATTGTCTTTTTCCTTCTTAAAGGAGCTGTATGTAGAGACTCATATCCCAGGTTCACCCCATATCAATAACTGCCTTTTAAGGAAAATCATCCAAACCAATTTTTTTTGTAAGGGTTTCTGGTCCTCATGTCCCTGGTTAACTGAAATCAAAACTGCATCTATGGGAGTAACTGATTGGACTATGTTGTGGACACAAACTAAACCTCTGAAAGATAGAGGATTCCAAGGTGAAAGATGGCCAACTAATCAGTCATCCCCCTCTACTGAAACGTATAGGTATTTGGTAAATAAAGAGATTATAGGGTCATTCTTGGAATTGCTGAAATGAATCATTTAGCCCAAGTTTTCTCTCCCTTACTGGGATCCAGTGACTGATGGGTATGGAGGTATAAAGGCTAAGACTCCTCATTCCACCTCTGAAGGGTCATCCCAGATACAGAGGCCCCCATGTAAATTGGCCAAGGTCACTTCCTAACTGCACTGCAGCTCAGCTTCCCCTCTACTCAGTCTTCCTGCTTTCTCTTCCCTCAAATGTTGATCCCATAGCACTCCCGAGTAAACTCTTGGCATTGTAATTTTTACCTCAGAGTCTGCTTTCTTGGCATCTGACCTCCAATAGTATAGTATACAGACCTTTCATTTAGGGCCATAGAAAACCCACATGTACATGCTATCCTTGGCCAAGTACATATTCTCTTCTTAATATGTGTTAATATATCATTCTTGCTATTTATAACTCATTTAAAAGTTTTCTCTTCACAGAAACCCTATATAGTATGATTTGTCTGAATCTATTTACCTCTTATCTCACAAAACACATTGTACTGTAATGGATTACTTCTCTTTTTTCCAACTAGAACATGACCTACTTCATGGTGGGGAAATGGCTTCTTAACTCTTTAACTAGCACATTCTTCAACACATAACAGGGACAATCTAAATATTGAGTGAATGAAGAAATTTAAAATGCAGCATTTAAAGAAAGAAAGGGTGTGTCAGTACCATATGGTCATAGTCAATTGTACATGTGAGGAGGGACTCAGGAGAGGAGGAAGTTTTGTTTACTACATGTGTCTGCTAAGAGCTTAATTTTTGACTTTCAGTTTTTCCACTCTTCTGATGAGCCATTTGTATAAACTACTTGGAGTAAAAAATATTTTTCTCTGATGAAAGGGTGGTTTTTATCCTTGTAAGGACAATGTATAGTAAGGACATGATGTGTGGCACTGAAGTCCAGGTGAGAAACTTTCTTCTGATTATTCTGGTCATGTACAAAATCTTTTCCTCATGGGCCTTTGGTCCTTGTCAGCCAGATGATTGTTAGCTATGCTTTCAACTGCTAAGTTAAGATAGAAGCCACTGGCACCAATTTGAATGATTTCAATGGGATCTAACATATTGGATAAATTATGAAAGCAATACATGCAAATAGTGTAAACAGCTCAATTACTAAGTGTAATGCTTTTCCCATTGTTCTGTTTAAAAGACCACTTGTCTTGTTATTGTCCAAAATGGGTAACCACTGGATTAGTTTTTCTACCAGCTATCAGTAAAGACTTGATAGCAATTTTCCTCATTTCTTGGATTGTATGCTTGAAACATTATGGGACAGCAGAAGATGACCAACATGTTGTGAGTGTTCAGTAGCCAGAGTCAACTTAGAGGTATGCAGGGAAGAGATCATAACATGAAAACAGTCCCCTGGGTTTACCTT